ACGATCTCGGCTCACCGCAACCTCTGCCTCCTGGGATCAAGCAATTCTCCTGCCTCAGCCTCCTGAGTAGCTGGGATTACAGGCACATGCCACCATGCCCGGCTAATTTTTGTATTTTTAGTAGAGACGGGGTTTCACCTTGTTGACCAAGATGGTCTCGATCTCTTGACCTCATGATCCACCCGCCTTGGCCTCCCAAAGTGCTGGGATTATAGGGGTGAGCCACCGCGCCCGACCTATACTGTTTTTGTCTATCTGCTTATGGTCTGTTTTCTCCCATTAAAATAAAGTTATTCCATATGTCTTGTTCACTGCAGCAACCTCAACATTCAGAAAGGTGACTGGTACACAGCAGGTACTCATGAATAAATGATTACATTTATCCTACATAAGGGCTCCAAAAGATATGGGTAAGAGGGAATTGAGGATGTGGGAGGTTAAAAAATGTGCCAGTGGTAACCCACCTAGGAAATAACATCTGACTCCAAAACCTGTACTCTTGTTATACTGTACTACCTAAGTGCAAAAATTTCCCTGAAGAGCTGATTCTCAAAACTTTTTCCATCAAAATGATTTTCACACACCCTGAATTGTGGTAAAGTTTATTAAAAGAATGCTGATGTGATCATGATGTCTACATGGGTAAGCAAGAGAGAATTGTGTTGTGTGGCAGTGCCAGCAGTCTGACCAATGACTAGGGAAAGAATAAAAATCTAGGAAATGGGGTTGACTGAAAAAGGATATGGAAGATATTTTATTAAGAAAGAACCCTGGGCCGGGCCCAGTGGCTCATACCTGTAATCCCAGCACTTTGGGAGGCCGAAGTGGGTGGATCACCTGAGGTAAGGAGTTGAAGACCAGCCTGGCTAACGTGGTGAAAACCCATCTCTACTAAAAACACAAAAAATTAGCCGGGCGTGGTGGCAGGTGCCTATAATCCCAGCTACTCAGGAGGCTGAGGCATGAGAATTGCTTGAACCCAGGAGGCAGAGGTTGCAGTGAGCTGAGACTGCGCCCACTGCACTCCGGCCTGGGCAACAAGAACTCCGTCTCAAAAAAAAAAAAATCAACAACAGAAGAACGAATGAACTCTGGCTGGGTGTGGTAGCCCATGCCTGCAACCCCCAGCACTTTGGGAGGCTGAGGCAGGTAGATCACGAGGTCAGGAGTTGGAGACCAGCCTAGCCAACATGATGAAACTAAAATCTCTACTAAAAATACAAAAATAAGCCAGGCATGGTGGCACACACCTGTAATCCCAGCTACTGGGGAAGCTAAGGCAGGGGAATGGCTTGAACCCAGGAGGCAGAGGTTGCAGTGAGCCAAGATCGCGCCACCTCACTCCATCCTGGGCGATACAGCAAGACTCCATCTTGGAGGAAAAAAAAAAAAAAAGAACTTCACTGGGTGCAGTGGCTCGTGCCTATAATCGCAGCACTTTGTAAGGCTAAGGTGGATTACTTGAGGTCAGGAGTTCAAGACCAGCCTGGCCAACATGGCAAAACCCCATCTCTATTAAAAATACAAAATTTAGCCAGGTATGGTGGCATGGGCTGTAGTTCCAGCTACTCAGGAGGCTAAGACAAGAGAATCACCTGAACCCAGGAGGCAGAAGTTGTAGTGAGCCAAGATCGCACCACTGCACTTCAGCCTGGGCAATAGAGCGAGATTCTGTCTCAACAACAAGAAAAAATAAAAGAAATAACTCCAGTGAATACTGCAAATGAGGTCAAACAAAAATCTGAAGTTTGAGAGAACATCCTATGGGATCTGTGAATACCGTATAATCTCTCTTTGCTCAGAGTGAGATTAAAAAGTTCAAAAAGGTAGAGGCTCTCTCTTAATTGTACTCCTGAAAAGAGCACTACAGGGTACCCTATGCACAAGGACAGCTACCTGTCAAAAACACTATTTCACACCTGAAAGAATACTGGCCCTGTTCCTGCTTTATTTTAGTGTGCCACTCATTGGACAGTGGTGATTAATCAGGAATCTGAGAGCCCTATGAATTTTTAAAGAATGGCTGAGGAGGGTTGAGGGAGAAATGTCTATAAGCCACCCCCTTTTGTGTTTTTGAGACAGAGTCTCATTCTGTTGCTCAGGCTGTAGCACAGCAGCATTGCTTCAGCTTACTGCAACCCTCATCTCCTGGGTTCAAGTGATTCTCGTGCCTAAGCTGAAGCCTCCAGAGTAGCTGGGATTATAGGCGTGTGCCACTACACCTGGCTAATTTCTGTATTGTGAGTAGAGACGGGGCTTCACCATGTTGCCCAGGCTGGTCTTGAACTCCTGGCCTCAAGTGATCCACCCTCCTCAACCTCTCAAACATCTGAGATTACAGGCATGAGCCGCCATGCCTAGCCAAGGGCTGGATACTTTGGATAGGATTTTTTGTTGGGATAGAAGAAAGAGGCAGTAAGAGACAATGCTGATATCTTTAAGATCAAAAATAATATATCTCTGATAAAAAGCAACAATTAACTCTAGGAGAAACACATAGTTGGAAGAATGGTACAAAAAAGATGTCATCTGCCAGGGTTCCCCCATTTATATTTCCACTATCCACAGTATTTAGTACAGAGGCAAAGGACTGAATGACTATTCACTGGTAAGAACAAGTTGTTTATGAGTGTTCTCAAAATTGGACAGTCAGAGTAGGATCCATCATAAGCATATAGATTAGAAGCTTTATCCTTCCCTCCAAAATGGGCATGTAGCAGTTTCGGACACTTGACTAGTACAGTTGTCCCTTAGTGTATACAGGGGATTGGTTCCAGGACCCACAAGGACACAAAAATCCCAGGATGCTCAAGTCCCTTATACAAAATCACATAGTATTTGCATACAACCTACACACATCCTCCAATATACTTTAAACCATCTCTAGTTTACTTATAATACCTAATAACTAATAAAGGCTATATAAACAGTTGTTTTTTTGTTTTTTGAGATGGGGTCTCACTCTGTCACCCAAGCTAGGGTACAGCAGAGTGATCACAGCTCACTGCAGTCTCAATCCAGACTCAAGTTATCCTCTCAGCCTCCCACATTAATAGGACTACAGGTTCACGTCACCACACTTGGCTAGTTTTTTTACTTTTTTATTTTATTTTTTTGTAGAGATGGGGTCTCCCTATGTTGCCCAGGCTGATCTCAAACCCCTGGCCTCAAGCAATCGTCCCACCTGGGCCTCCCTAAGTACTGGGATTACAGAGGTAAGCCACCATTCCTGGCAAGTATTATTTTTTATTGTTGTATAAATAGTTGTTAACTGTACTTTCTTTTTTTGAGAGAGGTTCTCACTCTGTCATTCAGGCTAGACTGCAGCAGAGTGATCACAGCTCACTGCAGTCTCAATCTGGGCCCAATGTTAATGTATTTTTTCCTGAATATGTTCAATCAGCATTTGGTTGAATCTGTGGGTGAGTGTGGAAACTGTGAATACAGAGTGCCAACTATATTTGGTAAGTGACTGATTCAGTATGGACACTGAACAAACACAGTCAATGAGAACCCTCTTAAGCCTAGAGGATATGGCCCCAAGCCAGTCATTCTCTAAGGATCTGACAGTGTTTAAACTACTAACAAGGTGATGATACATCAAAAGTCTTTTTTAAGGGCTTGTACTCAAAGCATTTAGAGCATGTCATCTCCATATCCATAAGGGGAGAACTTGGCCAAGAAGGAAAAAGTAAGTATAATGAGCCATACTGAATTGAACAAAGCTGAACAAAGCATCAGGCTACAGAAGAATTTTCCTGTAATAACTACACTTCTCTGGCAGAGCCATTTTTAAGATTCTGGGTCCAGCCGAGTGCAATGGCTCACACCTATAATTTCAGCACTTTGGAAGGCCAAGGCGGATAGATCACCTGAGGTCAGGAGTTTGAAACTAGCCTGACCAACATGGAGAAAATTCGTCTCTACTAAAAATACAAAATTAGCCAGGCATGATGGCACATGCCTGTAATCCCAGCTACTCAGGAGTCTGGGGCAGGAGAATTGCCTGAACCCAGGAGGCGAAGGTTGTGGTGAGCCGAGAGCACACCATTGCACTCCAGCCTGGGCAAGAAGAACGAATCTCTGTCTCAAAAAAAACCACAAAGATTCTAGGCCCACTGGATTCACAATGTTAAGTATAGGCAGTGGGTACATTTAAAAAAAAAAAAAAAAAAAAAAATCAAACTATATTCCTAAGCTTCTTTTCCTCCTTTACAGATGGAGGAACTGAAACAACTCAAAGAAAATAACTTTCCCCAAGGAAACACCACAACAAGAAGGATTCTACTCATTTATTAATTCCTCCCAGAACTACCAGGCAGCAGTCAATTAAAGACATAGATGGCAAATCTAGGTGGCAAGCTGAATAACTACAGATGGTTCAAACGTAAGGTGAATACAGATTCTGATTCACCAGCTCTGACTATATGCAGCCGAAGACTTGAGTATGCAACGCCAATTGGCAAAGAACAATGATGAATGCAATAGACACCAACAATCCACTCCTCTTCTCTTCCCTAACAGCTCTCTTTTGGAAGTAGCCTGCATCCTGATGCCATAGAAGTCACCATCAGAGGTCTTCACCTTAGGTCTAGGTCTGCGTTTAACTATTGACCTAGAATTTCTGTGCTGGGCAGATCCTTGGAGTAACAGACAATCAAGGATCATTCTTTGCATCAGGATTACCATCTCAGTCACACTCCAAAAGGAAACACTCCAGATGTGTCTTTTTTTTTTTTTTTTTTTAAACTACTATCTATGGAATCTAGTCCAGAAGCAACTGGGCTCTAGTTTTTAAAATGTACTCTGTGCCCATTAAGTTTTCTAGGGAAAGCTTTCCAGCATTTTTAAAGATTTTCCTCACAACCACTGGTTGGAATGCAGTATGCTCAAAGACAGACTTCTTGTATCTTTCCAAAGTGAAATTATTTGAAACCCTCCCTCCCCATATATAAAAAAATATATCCTTCCAGCATCATTTGACCGAAGTATAAAGCAACCTGGTTGGCCTCCATGCATCCGATGGCATCTTCCAAGAGTGAAAACTCCACGCAGACATAGCCATAGTCGTAACCTGGGGACAGCATTTAAATACAGACGGGAGTGGTGTTAGTGCCTTGCAAACACAAAAGACACACTTAAATCCCCTGTTTCTGAACCCCTTAAACACAAGCCCTCCCAACTGACCCCTCCCTCCCCTACACTAGGTAAAGTTGCTACCCCAAACAGAAAAAAGTACTGAAGGAAAGTCTCGATGTTTCTGGACTTTGAGATGCATTCCAAAATAGCCTTTTCTATTAACCAAGAAGATCCTTTGCCCTCTTTAGCACTGGTGATCTGGTGAAGGTACCCCAGAATTGGGTAATCCCACAGAAAGTTCATGTGGGGACCCGAAACATTTTAACCACAGGCTTAATCTTCCAGAAAAACAAAGTCAACAAGAATAAGAAAGTACCTGGAAAAAAAAAAAAGTATCCCGAGAGAAGACAAAAAAAGCAATTATCCCCAGGCTATGCTAATAGTCACCACTTTTCAAGCAGAAACCACCTTCAAAGACAGAAGTGCTGACAGACTGAGGCAACTATTCTGTTTGGATACCACAGGAGGCTTCTGGTTGGCAGGGGACAGACCATTTCAGGTCTCCTCTTTTTTCCTTGTTTCAACTCAAGTCATAAACCAGCTAAAATCTTTATAAAAGGAAGAAGGTGTAAAAGCATAAATAAGTACAAATAACCGTGTCCGAAATTGTGCTTATGCACAAAGACTGGTGGTGGGGAAAGCTGGGAGAAAGACAGCAGTTGTTAGCAATCAATACATGTTTTAAGAACTATACAAACCATCAGAGCTATAAAATACCCCTCACCTTACTCCTAGGCATGTGTCATTTGCAGCACAGGCCTGAGTCGTATGACCCATGAGACTGGGAAGTCATGGGATTTATTTATAGGCTGCTGAACTCAAATCTAACCAGTCCTATAATTTCCCTGATACCGCCACCGTGTAACTACAAAAATACATTGGTCAATGCAATGCTCCCCAAGTGGCTTCCATGCTTCCTCCACTGCCTCAGAGGATAAAGAAGCTCATCTCTAGCAACAACACTGTGTAAATGGAACAGCAAGAAAAAGATGTGATTTGTTCAGATGAGAAACAAAACTCAGGCACAGAAAAACAACACAAAACTCTATAATTTTGAGCACAAAGTATATAACAATAGGAAACTGGTATCACTGAATCAATGTATCAAAGATCAATAAAACTAAAGCAATAGGAAATATAACTTTAAAAACATACCATTTGGTGAAATCAATTAATATTCCTTGTCACATGAAATGAATGGCTTTAAAATGTTTTATTAATAATAAACTTTGATTTTAGACTTGTTAAATATTCCAAGTTTACTACGAAACATTACAACAGTATAGGCTGAGCCTCACTTTGAGTTTCAGAAAGTGATGAGGAAGAAAAACAACCTACTAGAAACCTCAGCACCACTGTAGGATGAGAAATAGATTTTCTAACCTACTTTCACAGCTTTGACCAACATGGATTAAAACTAACCCCTCTACACTTACCACAAAATCAGTCTCCTCTGCTTAATAACTCATTGAATAAATAAAAGTTCTTTAGAGAAACAGTGTGCATATCTTATTAACAGTGAAAACTGTTTTGTTACTTAATTCCTTCCAAGTAAATCTTGATCGAACTCAGTGAACACCTAATATATCAATCACACTGCATTTTATAAACAGCTCTGAATATTCTTGGGAAACATTACAGAATAACAGAAGGAACTAAGATACCCGTTAGCACCAACTATCCACTGCAAACACTCAAATGCATGTCCACAATCAGAAAGGGTTAGCCACGGAACGAGCAAGTGTACTCTCGAGTGTGTTGATTACCTCTACAGAACATATCAATGGAGTACCCAGGTATGTGGAAAGCAACCCTCTCCACAGCTGCCCGGATGAAAAACATGGGGAAATAATACCAAAACTGGCAAAGCCCTAAGTTTCCTTTTTGTGCTTAAAGAAGCAACCACTGTGGCCCAGAGGAGCACACAGAATCTGTGGACAGGGGAGAGAAAAGATTCATGACAACAGTCATACTTGGCTAAAGGTCAAGTAGACACTGGGAAGGAAAAGATAGAGAAGACAGTATGAGCATCTAATACAGCATTTCTAGACATCAATCCTGCAATACTATATGTTGACAACATACTCAGATTCATTATTATATTCATAAGCCCAACACTAAATTTATTCCGAGTGAAACTTTAGCTATCAAACAAGAACAGAAATTTAAGGTTTAACTACACTGCCTAAAATTTTTTTTTTTAAAAAAAGGCATTTTATGTGCTCAAGACTCATGGTTGTATCATAAGGATTTTCAGCAATCACCAAAATAGACAATGAAATCTTATTCTAGCCAGGCGTAGTGGCTCATGCCTGTAATCCCAGCACTTTGGAAGGCTGAGGCTGGCAGATCATGAGGTCAAGAGATCGAGACCATCCTGGCTAATATGGTGAAACACTGTCTCACTAAAAAAAAAATACAAAAATTAGCCAGGTGTAGTGGCACACACCTGTAGTCCCAGCTACTTGGGAGGCTGGGCAGGAGAATTGCTTAAACCTGGGAGGCAGGAAGTTACAGTGAGCCGAGATGGCGCCACTACACTCCAGCCTGGGCAACAGAGCAAGACTCAGCTTCAACAACAACAACAAAAAAATTTTATTCTAAATATACTGATTTAATATTCACAATACTATCTTATGAGGTAAATATTATTAACCTGATTTTAGCCATGGGGAATAAGGCAAGGAAAGGATAGGTAAATTGATCAAAGTAACCAAATAAATACCAATACTGAGCTTTAAATGCAGGCAGTCCAGATTCAGGTTGATGTTTTTAAGCACTACACTCTAGCCTCTCTCTCTTCAATAAGATCATAGACCAATTTAAATAATCTTAATTCCAAACTCTACAGAGCCTAGTTACAGAAAGGGTCCCATATGCCTTAACACATACATCTATGCCCCTGTTAAAAAAATAAGCCTAATAAAGAAATATTCAAGTTAGCAGCATAACAGTTGCTTCTATTTTAAAATAACTATGGCAGAACTATTGAGAGTAGACCTGAGAAAACATTCTCAGGAGCTGATTATACTAGCTCCCAAAATTCTTCTGAAAAGACAAAAACTAATCTTGTAAATGATGGCTATAAAAGTTGCATAGCAATATGAAAAGATACTTGATATAGTATATTTTAAGAGCCTTAAAAATGAATATACCCTTATGGATAATTATGTAAAATGTGTATAGAAAAAAGGACTGGAATTCAGTGAAACTACACCTAACTCAGGGGTTAGAGGCAAAAGTCAGCATGTGAGACAAAAACCATGCACTGTCAAAATCATACTAAAAGACCCCAAGGTGAAGAATAACATACCATCTTTCAATTTAGGTAAGTCCAACACTGCCAGTTTTTCCTCCAGCGCTGCAACAGATCAGTTTTCCTTTGGTTGACACCAGATGAAGAGGTTGGCTTGCATTTAAGGGCCATAAGGTATGAAAATATATTGCTTTAAATAACAGAATCACAGCCAGCACAGTGAATGCTCACTCAGAGAAACTTAGAAAAGGAGACAAACTGAAGCCACAGGTGAGTCTCATCCCCACTGCCCATGCTCACTCCAGGAGTGAGAAAACAGGGTGTGGGAAGTGGGGAGGGGGAAAGAGTTCAAAAAAGAACAGGTGGACATACAAAACTCAGAAAATGCATATAATGCAACACAACTGTATATCAAAATGATTACAGTCATTGTATTGCTATAGTGGAATAATCAGGGATTTTTTTTCTTTATTTTCCAAATGTAATTTTACAATTCACAGAAAAGGCACAGAAGATATTCTACCCAAAGACCTAAACATTCTAAAAACAACCAACCACCTTGAGATCAGAATTGCTAGGAACCATATGGAATCACTAAGACAATAAACTCAGTATTAACCTTTCCATGGACAGATTTATTTTTACCAATCAAAGTAACAAAAAGTCTATTTTATTACCTTTTTCTTCTACTGTCACTTGCTGGGAAGAAGTCTGGTGGGTCTTTGTGCTTATTTAGATAACTTTTAAAAGCATAGCTAACTAAATCTTGTAATCTAAATTTACAGATCTCACAGAAATATGAATTCCCCTTATATATTTTTTTTGAGATGTTGTCTCTCTCTGTTGCCCAGGCTTGAGTGCAATGGCATGCAATCTTGGATCACTGCAACCTCCACCTCCCAGGTTCCAGTGACTCTTCTGCCTCAGTCTCCTGAGTAGCTGGGACTATCATGCCCAGCTAATTTTTGTATTTTTAGTAAAGTCGGAGTTTTGCCATGTTGGCCAGGCTGGTCTTGAACTCCTGAGCTCAGGTGATCTGCCCACCTCAGCCTCCCAAAGTGCTGGGATTACAGGCGTGAGTCACCATGCCAGGTCTCCTTATACGTTTTTGTTTTTGTTTTTTTTTTTTTGGCAAATGAGAAGAAGGAGAACAGGGCAAGGGAAGAAAAACCTATAAAGGTAACAATAAAATTTCACATCTTCTCCATCTTCATTAACCATGTGGTTGTCTGTTTCCCAAAACTGTATCTGTGATAAATGCCAACCAGGTGGTTATAGGAGAATAAGGTACATGAAACAAAACCCTGATAAATAATATTCAATCTCAGAACTAACTCTTCAGTCTCTGCCTCTGGAAAAGCTGACTACGAGATGCTGACAAACATAACCCTGCATGGTTTAAGTCAATTATTAGTCTATAACAGGCCCAATTTTCATAATAATTATAAGGAATATTTGTTTAGGCAAATGAGATGGACCTTCAAACTGTTCTACGAAAATCCAGTTAACATACCCAAGTCCAGTTGAATTTCCCATCAAGAGAGTACTGGTTGACATTGAAAAAGCCCAGAATACACATCCAGAAAGGAAAAGGAGGAATCAGGATTTTAAAGAACATAAGCAGCAGGCTGGGCTCAGTGGCTCCGGCCTGTAATCCCAGCACTTTGGGTGGCCGAGAC